TTGCTCTCCTGTAGTGTTTCCCGGTCTTTTAAAACACGACTTCAAAATAATTCGCCGCGGTTTGGTGATAATCAGTCGTGCATCACTAATCCCAATTGATTTATTAATCACAGATCTCATTGAGTCACATCAACTCTTGTTTTAAATTTGCTTACAAGATTCTAGACGACCCTCTTCATCTACTACACCCTGATCTATCGTCTTGTCGTCCCCATCCGTCTACACGCTCCTCATTTCGACAGCTACCCTCTCGCATTAACATTTATAAAAATTCCCCTGTACCCTACCTGGCCCGACTACTCACCAAAAAGGAACAGGTCTCAAATGAACTACGTCAAATGCTTTGCACATGATACGTATATCACCGACCTTGTTTGCCTTTTGTTTTGATTATTTTTATTTCATTCTGCGCGACGAACAATGTACATTTTTAACTGAAATGTAAGCATATATGCCTACAAAAGTTACAAATACAAATTTATTTGAGAGCAATTCCAAGGCATTCGAAATCTCTAAATACAGTACAGTACAACTCTGGAGCAGGACACCTTAATAGAGCCCATTTATAGATATTTTCAATAATAAAAAACCCTATTCGAGTTGATTAATCCTATTAAATGAGAGCACACAGGACGTTAATTTGTAAGGTTAGAAATGAACCAATTGAACATGCTGATAGGGTTTCATTTTGCAAGCTGTGATGAGAAACCTAGATTTTTATTATTGCGCTACTCATGAGTAGCTTAAAACTGAGTCGAAAATTCATCGTTTTTAATGTACGTATGTAACGGTCTCCAGTGAAGGTTTTGGTTGCAGTCGGATTCTTCCCACCATTGGATAAACAAGAAGGGTAACAGAGAAATCACGATAACGTAGTATTCTAACAAAAATGTACACAACCCCTGATGGGTTCCATCATAAACATCATGTTTTCTCCGCGTTTGTCTGCATTCGGGTAAACGAAACGGACGGATCGGAGGAATTATTCAATAGTTTTGTTCTTGTTTTTAGTCTCCGGTTCCAACTCTACTCTCCAGTACAGGCCCGGTGTGTCAGCACGACGAATGTAGTACCTATCTCTATTGATTTGAGGTTTGGTTACCAGGTCATTTTCTGAGACGACAGTGCGCGGGGGATGAATCCTCCCCAGCTCCTCTTTTGAAGGAATTACCGGAACCTGTGAAAGAAAGAAAAAGCTAGCAGTTAGCCATAGAAAAGTTATCCAGAGGATGACGAATGAATTCACATTCGATCGACCAAAGTTGGGAGTGAATACCAGAATAGTTGTTGAACCCCCATGAAGATGGCGACACAGTTTGGGTTACTGTCCACCTTCAAAATCTTACGCCTGCAGTGAAAGACCTTCACTCCATCAGAACCGTATGGAAAACAAGAATTCAGTGAAGTATGATGTTCAACGAATGAATTAATCAATGTACTTGCACAAACCATTAACTAATCAATATTATCAAGGAGTGCATAGTGCCTGATACCCAGAACTCAGTGAACTCACAATGAACATTTAAGTACCAACCTCGCAATCAGGACATGGTTGCAAAATCCTTCTTTTAATGTGCATCAACCGGACGACATATAGGTCGCATAAAAACAAACACAGAGAGGGTTTTTCTATCGTGAAGGAACGTTTGGAAGTGAAGAAAAAAATTACTATCCACACCGGTCGCGGAACTATAAAGGCAAACTCGTTTAACTATGATTTCAAATAGGATACACACCAAGTCACTGACTGATCTCCGTAGCCTGACATTTAACTATTAGCACACGTACACATGAGAGACACTGAAACAGATGCTAGAAGGATTTTAGGGAGCATATAGAACACCCGACCCGATGAGACAATATATTTCAGCCGATATTCGTCTTGATTTCACCAAATCCATCATAGAAATCCTGTACTGTATGCACACACAGACACGCGTATCCGATCCTCATTCACTCTACTCCGTTCCTCTCACATATTCCCTATCACAGAGAACTCAAGATGACCGCATGAATCATCATGCTTCGGATGGACATACCATCTCTGTTCTATCATGTCATGCCTCAACTAAAGTCCAATTGTCATTGAACCCTCCAGGACCAGCTAGCCATTGTTCGCCCTCTATGCCCCCTTACACTAGCCACAGTTAACGTGCGAACCCTGATGCGTTAAGGACACAAAGCGTGTATATCTCAAGATTTTAATTGGATCATCGGGTTGATGATCTCACCCAACAACTCTTTGGAGTTTCATTTGAGCTTTTTTAAACCTTCGGCTACCGTTTCTGATATTTTCAGCATTAGTTTGGCTCTTTTTGAGGATGAAGGTGAACTACTGGATTCGATTCCAGTCGACGATCGGTTGTGCGCAGTGTGATTAAAAGTTGTATGCAAGCTAAGCAGCCAAAACCTCGAAAATCGCCATTTCCACGTTGCCTCGGTGTACACATAAACGGATTGCCGCCAGCATGCAGTTAAAGATATGTTTTATCAGATGCTGCGCAACCTTTGTGTGAAGCGAATCGCACTTGAATCCCACATTTAGCAGATATCAATACCGTAGCAGATAGACTGTTTACATAAGACACAAATAGGCCCTGGGGGAAAGGCTTGAATCCTGTTGCTCAGGAAGAAAAGAAAGGCTGTTGCGTTGTGTATAGACGGTTGACTATTCCCCGCCAGTATAACTTGCGACGCTCAGAATTCCGGCACATAGTTTGACACACTATCTTTGAGTCACCTATAGCAGCGATAGACCAATTTCAATAAACCATAAATAGCGGCATTACACACAAAACTGCCTAGTTAACTGAATCCTACTATCGTTTACTCTACACAAGGCAGTTTGTGTGCTCCAGTGGGTGTTCGAAACCATAAACACGACAAGCTAGCCACCTTTCGAGAAGCACCAGTCCATAATCTAGAACTACTCCTGTCTGATAAAATCCATTAGCACTGGTTGCTTATCAATAGTGCACTGTATTCTGTTGGCTTATGGAGTTTTGGTCTGACGCGATGTGGCATGACACCTTGTTTTTCTGCCGGGTGTTTGCGCTTTCTTGATGCACGCAAGTCAGAACAACTCATTCAATCGACGCGTCGAAATCGATAAACATTACGCAACGATTGTACAACCAATGAGGAACTCGGGATTGATGGATAAACAGGCGCAACGCAAACCACAGCATGAGGCATAAGCAAATCTAATTCATCTATACACATTATTGTTTGACGAGTCCCAGGCTGAATCGAAACGTCGCAAAAAATGCTATCATCTAGCGCACTCCATCTCAATATATATATATATATATATATATATATATATATATATATATATGCCGTTGTTTTCTGGAATACATGGGCATAATAAATGGAGGAGATACTTAGCCAGGTAGTAGTTGGGAGCCGTTGTCGAA